GATGATAATAATGATAAAAATTTATAGTAGTAGTAGTAATAATGATAAATGATAATAATTTTATTAAATATTAAGGTGATAATACAATTAAACAATAATAATTTGTTGTATCTAAATATGTTAGTTTTTGTTTGTCTAAAACACATTCCAATGCAATTTTTGTTTGTATATAAATATTAATTCTAAATTGTATGTAAGTTTATATTAAAGATGTATTGTCCCATGCTAAATACCAAAAAAATCATAAAAATATTTTTTGAAATTAACTTACCTTTTTTGAAGTAACATAAAAGTTATCAACTTTAACATAGAAATTAGCGTATTTAAAAAATGTCTACCCATCAGTTTACAGCGATAAAAATGATAGGAACACTTTCATTCACTGGAAGTGTTTTATTATTTTTATTATAATTTTTTGGCTTAAAAATCAGGGTACACATTTTTTAAATTCAATAATTTTTATGCACAAGTTAATAGTTTGTATGCTATTGCAATATGAGCAAGTTTATTTCAAAATTATTTTTTGTGATTTTTTGACATTAGCAAGGGACAATACATCTTTAATGAAGATTTTATTGTATGTTAAACCCTGTCCACACTAGAAAATAATAATAATATACACATGTGACATGTCTAATGTCACATCAAAACCATATATAGGAACATCATGACTATATATGGGCATACAGTACAACAGTTTCTTGATTAAGCTTAAATAATCTCGAGAGTGACATAATTACTGTGAACCTTATGTTTTCATTTATAGGTAACACAACTGAACACATTGATCACAATGTTGATCGGAAATCTGAACTCGGGCGATCGTCAAAAAATCATGACCATCTGCACCATCGACGTGCACGCTCGCGACGTAGTCGCCAAGCTGATCGCCATGAAGATCGACAGTGCCCAGGCCTTCCAGTGGCTTAGTCAACTGCGCCATCGCTGGGATGATGAAAAGAAGCAGTGCTATGCTAACATCTGTGACGCCCAGTTCAGATACTCCTACGAGTACCTAGGAAACACTGCCAGGCTTGTGATTACTCCATTAACAGATAGGTAAGTTTGTGCTTTAAAGTGTGCCTCTCCAGCGCCAAACAGAGGGGAGGGGGGCCAAAAAAGCCTTCACGGAAACTCATAATGCCTCCAATTGCTAGTTGTTTTTGGTACGCTTTTTCCCAGCCTTGGATTTGTTACACATTTTTAAAAATTCTTGTCAATATTTACAGAATGCACTGATAGTTTTTCTGTACTGAACTTACCTAAAACTTTTGTATATGAAAGTAGGTGGAGCAGTGGTAGTTTGGTAGACGTATGCAATAAAACACTGGAGGCACAACTTTTTGTTACACAAGCTTGTGCCAGCAGTCCATTCCGGCTTCATCAGGTGCAGACAAAAATTAAAACTAAAACTTTTGGAACCATTTGTCCCAGTGCATTGCATGAGAATGTCCAACACCAAGCCAACTTCCTTATTCCCTTTTTGCCCATGTGCGAAATCTCACCAGCAAAGGTGCAGCAAGTTTGCCAGTCACCTCTGGCACATAATCCGAAGTTTGTTTCTCCTTCTAAAGTCAACTAATTATTTATTTATTTATTTATTTATTTGTATCGGTGGTACTCACAGTCAGTGATGTGGTCTTACAAAATACACAAAAGAAAAAGGAGAAAAGAATTTTAACATTAACAATCAATACTTAACTAAATACTTATTATTAAGTATTATTAAATTCTTATTATTCTTAAGAAAAGCACTAAAACTCCAATGGAACAGTTTTAACAAAATGAGCCAAAGGAGATCAAAAGGAGTTGTAATTTCTCATCTGTATTCGAAGTTATAAAAATTGTCTATGTTTGAGGATCATTACAGAGAGAAAGGTCTTCTTTAAGGATCATCAGCTCTTCCTTTCCGGAAACTATCAAGAGCTTTACAATTAAACAAAAAGTGTTTAACATCTTCGACCTCACCGTTTTTACACAGCGTGCAAAGACCTGTGTTAATTAACGTATGTGATTGGACGAGAATTAAACGTTCAAAATTATAAATACTTACTTTTAACTGAAATTATGACAAGTAATGTTCGTTAAATTTTAGGTGCTACATAACCTTAACCCAGTCTCTCCATTTGACAATGAGCGGTGCTCCAGCGGGGCCAGCAGGAACCGGAAAGACTGAAACGACTAAAGATTTAGGACGTGCTCTCGGCATCATGGTCTATGTATTCAACTGCTCAGAACAGATGGACTACAAGGTATTGAAATCTTCATTTACAGATGTTTAGAGGAAAGGGCGAGTGATTGATTATTAGTGTATTTATTTTTTATTCTGTTATTTATATTTTCATTCATGTAAAAAGATATTTAGTTTAGTTTATTCCAACATCGATTGATGTATTCTTCTTAACATTTGGCTTTTGTTTTCTTACTTCAGTCTTGTGGTAACATTTACAAGGGTTTGTCACAAACTGGTGCATGGGGTTGCTTTGATGAGTTCAACAGAATATCTGTAGAGGTACTCTCGGTTGTAGCTGTCCAGGTAGGCTATTCGAGGTTATGCTCAACACAGCATATTATTATTACCTACGTATTTATTCTTGAAAAGAACTTTACTGCCATTGTCTATTAAAAAGACAGGGTTTGTTTTCTTATCAAGTGCATACATTGAGCTACAGTATGTTTGTTGGTTTAGGCCCTTCTAAAACTTGGTGATACGATTTCCGTGCATGGTGAAAAGATTGGTAGGAACAGGGTCTCAACATGAAAGATCCTTTCTTGTCCTCAAATTCAGAGTGTACCATATTAAATATTATTAGCTTCAAATGCTACTCAATCGCCATTTAATCCTTACACTTTGACATGAAAATTAATGTTGTCAAACCATACGATGATAAAATGGGCGCCTTTGAGGTAATTCTTTAAAGTTGATATTGCGATAGTAATGGTTTGGGTGGGACTGCTGTTGTGCAGTTTTGAATTGTTTAAAATGATGAAAGGAGTGGAAACATTTGTTTCTGTTTGTTTTTTTGTAGGTTAAATGTGTCCAGGATGCTATTCGTGACAAAAAGAAACGCTTCAACTTCATGGGCGTGGAGATCAACTTGGTTCCCACCGTCGGAATCTTCATCACCATGAATCCAGGTTATGCTGGCAGAACTGAACTTCCAGAGAATCTTAAGGCCTTATTCAGGTACAAGCTACAGTCTGTAGTCTAATCTACAGTTAATAAAATAATATCAATATTAACAATTTTTGATTCAAATATCATTCATGTTAACAGTAGCACTAGTCATGTAGCAAAGAACAAATGGACATTGTTTGAAACACTTGTATGAATTATTTTTATTGTTTGATTTTTCAGACCTTGTGCTATGGTTGTGCCAGATTTCGAATTGATCTGTGAAATTATGTTGGTGGCTGAAGGGTTCTTGGACGCAAGACTTTTGGCTAGGAAATTCATTACTCTCTACACCCTCTGCAAAGAGTTGTTATCCAAACAGGTTAGCACTGCTCTTTGATATCATAATAGTAGAGAATACTGGTAATGTTAGGTATCAGTGACGTATGATACAACCAGCAAAGGAATAATAATGGTGTGTTTAGGTTTGTGATTATGCAATAGCAGATCGTGATTCCATTATAACCAGTGTTCATTGCAGTATGCCAAGCATGCTAGCTACATCAAATAAGATGACATATACGTGTCTGTTAGCTTATGCCTGTAAAACCAGATAAAAAATTTTCAATTATTATTATATCTGGCAACTTTCCCTTTTTTTTAGGATCATTACGATTGGGGATTACGTGCCATCAAATCTGTACTGGTCGTCGCAGGTTCCCTGAAAAGAAGCGACAAGGACCGTCCCGAAGACCAAGTACTGATGAGGGCGCTGCGTGATTTCAACATACCAAAGATTGTGACCGACGACATGCCCGTTTTCATGGGATTAATCGGTGACCTGTTCCCCTCGCTGGACGTGCCACGTAAACGTGATCTGAACTTTGAGAAGGTCGTAAAGCAGTCAACCATTGATCTGAAATTACAAGCAGAAGACAACTTTGTGTTGAAAGTGGTACAACTGGAAGAGTTGCTCGCTGTCAGGCATTCGGTGTTCGTCATCGGTAACGCAGGAACAGGCAAAACACAGGTAAATGACCGCAAATGTACAGTATAAGGCAAATCTAATGTTATTGTTGTCTTGATTTATTAGGGAATTTATGCAACACAAGACAGGAATCAGTAGGTGATGGCGCTTCATATGGGGTTTGCCAATGCCAAAATCAGCATTGGTAACTAAGACAAGAAAATTGACTTTTTGATATATTCATATTCTTTACATTATTCTTTAAAATGTATTACAGCTTCTCTGTACTAAAGTATACGATACTGGCACATTCTTATGCTCATTACTCCGTTTATCAAGTAGGGACTACCCTAGCTTCGGCATGCCAGTGCTCATATAGTGTAGTGATGATGATAATGATATGATAATGATTAATATTAAGATATTGATTATGATAGTATAGTGTAATATTAATAATCATCAAATGTTTGCAATACTCTGAATATGGATGCTAATTATTTTTTTCCAAATCTTATATTATTTCTTGTATAACCTGTGTTAACAACTGTTATACTTATGTGCTCAGAATACGATACACAAAGCATATAAATTATAATCCTTATCTACTTTAATAATGATAACAGTATAATTCATAAGAACAACATTAAAAATCAAAATCAGATCTTTCCATTTATATTGCGCCATTCCAACAATCGTTGCTCGTGGCGCAGTGGACTAGATGTTGCACTTTTTAATAACTTTCTCCTCCCCTGAGGGTCGACAAGAATAATAATAATAATAATAATTAATAATAATAATAATTATAATAATAATATGCGCACTAAGTCGGACTTAAGGGGGAATATATTTTGTATTATATTCCCCCTTAACGTCATTTTTTTTAATTGTTTTCTAATTTCTCCATTGTCTAAGTTCCCCTTAAGGTAGGTTTTAGTAACAATAATAATAATAATAATAATAATAAAAATAATAATAATAATAATAATAATGACTTGATTATCCTTGATTGATAGGTGTTGAAAGTACTGAACAAGACATATTCCAACATGAAGCGCAAGCCGGTGTTAATTGATCTCAATCCAAAAGCTGTCACCAATGATGAGTTATTTGGTATCATCAACCCAGCCACCAGAGAATGGAAAGATGGTGAGATAATTAATCTACTTATCTATTTTGTAAATACTTACCTGAATGAACCGATATATGCCAATATCCTTTTAGGAACTTAATCAAAGCTAATGGAATCGTCCGACCCATAAAAATGTTATGTAACATTCAGACGATTCCATTATTTTCAAGGTAAGTTCCAAAAAGTAAATCGGCATACATTGGCTCATCCAGGTAAGTATCTCACTGATCATAGACAACATCACTTCTGATTTGTGTGATTTTTGGTCTTCCCAATGAGAAGTAAAAAGCAATCCAAAGACATAATATCTCTCAAATCCTTTCTTGCTCAGACCATGGTCCTCAACTGATGTCAAATTATCTTGCCATCTCCCCTTCCCCATCCAAACATTCCTTTTGCCTCTCATTTCCCCATTTCTTCTACTGATTTCTTTTCATTTAGGTGCAACAATAATTTCTAATTTGAAGCGTGTAGATCAATCATTATCTTGTCTGTACTTTTAGGCTTGTTCTCTAACATCATGCGGGACATGAGCAACATCTCGCACGACGGACCCAAGTGGATCGTACTGGATGGTGACATTGATCCCATGTGGATTGAGTCCCTCAACACTGTCATGGATGACAACAAGGTATGGAGAAATGGGAGGAGTATGGCTCTGTCCACCCTGTTATGTATTTTATGGGGGAAAATCACATAGTTGTGTATAGAACATTATGGCGCTTGGTTCGTATAGAATGATGATGATCAGGGGCGGATCCAGGATTTGAAGGAGGGTGGGGAGTTCAAAATGTGTCCCAGGAAAATTTTTACTCTTCCTATGCGGCTGGAAGTGAGCTTTCCCGAGTTCTGAGGTGTCTTTTAATGACTTTTAAGCCTCAAATTATTAATTGTTTTTTTTCTTTTTTTAGGTGGCCTGAGCTTAAGTGTCTCCGGACCTATACAGGCCTCCATTCATTTATCAATCAAAAAACAAAATTTTCTTTTTTCGCTTGTGAAATGTAAATAATTGATTGATAATGATGAATAAACAGAATAAACAGTAAAACAGTAAGTTCTTTAAAATTCAAGGGTTCCCCCTCTTGAAAAAAGTCGGGTAACTTCATCTCATTCTTATTACAGAAGAGTTATGTTTCGACGTCCAACGAAAAAATTAATTTTATTTAATTGAAGGCTAGTTAAGCTTAAAACCTTGCCAACTTAGGCCTAGGTAAGTTAGCATGCCTTTTGTAGGCCAGGACCCAGTAGTATTTTTTTTATGTTTCTTCATGGGGAGGGGAACCCCCATATCTCAACTCTAATTGTTAATGATTTATTTCTTTTTATTCTAAAGCACTTGAAATATTATAACATGAACTATACAAAAACACTATATATCCTGTCTCTTATACACATCTAGATGTGTATAAGAGACAGGTACAACCCCATACTCTAATCCGTCAGCACATGGATTACAGACATTGGTACGACAGAGTCAAGCTAAGTCTGAAAGAGATACACAACTGTCAGTACATCTCCTGCATGAACCCGACATCTGGTAGCTGTCTCTTATACACATCTAGATGTGTATAAGAGACAGCCTCAACACTGTCATGGATGACAACAAGGTATGGAGAAATGGGAGGAGTATGGCTCTGTCCACCCTGTTATGTATTTTATGGGGGAAAATCACATAGTTGTGTATAGAACATTATGGTGCTTGGTTCGTATAGAATGATGATGATCAGGGGCGGATCCAGGATTTGAAGGAGGGTGGGGGTGGGGAGTTCAAAATGTGTCCCAGGAAAATTTTTTACTCTTCCTATGCGGCTGGAAGTGAGCATTCCCGAGTTCTGAGGTGTCTTTTAATGACTTTTAAGTTCTTTAAAATTCAAGGTTTCCCCCCTCTTGAAAAAAGTCGGGTAACTTCATCTCATTCTTATTACAGAAGAGTTATGTTTCGACGTCCAACGAAAAAATTAATTTTATTTATTTGAAGGCTAGTTAAGCTTAAAGCCTTTGTCCGATCTGCCAACTTAGGCCTAGGTAGGTTAGCATGCCTTTTGTAGGCCAGGACCCAGTAGTATTTTTTTTTGTTTCTTCATGGGGAAGGGAACCCCTGAATCCCCAATAATGATGATGTCAACAGTGAAAGTGACTTCAATCTGTCATTTTTTTTTATTGGAATCATGATTTTCTGTCATTGCAGTGACTTCCTGATGTAATTACATTTCTCTTTTTTTAAGTTATCTTTTTTTTATTTTGATGGGAGTAAATTATGCGTTCCTAAATTGTATTGATTTATGACTTTGTTTATCTGGTTCTTTATACAGGTGCTGACATTGGCTAGCAATGAACGTATTCCACTAACACCAAGTATGCGTCTTCTATTTGAGATCAGTCACCTGAAGACCGCCACCCCGGCCACTGTGTCTAGAGCTGGTATTCTGTATATCAATGCTTCTGATTTGGGCTGGAATCCGTAAGTTTCTCTGTAGGATAAATAATTACTTCCATTATCAGTGGACTTCCTCATTTGTCAGTCAAGTCATATTTGACCAATAGGAACTTGCTATTCACTCAGTATGAACAAACACATGTTTATCGAAAAATTTAGCTTGTGAAACATTGCAGGCGCAAAACGGTAGATCCAAAGCTGCGATAGATTGAGAGCAAACAGTTTTAGTAATCTTTATCATATTTTTTTTAGAAATGGCCACTACATAGGTATTAATGTTATTATTCAATAATAATTATATTATTATTATTCAATAATAATTATATTATTCTATACTAAGCCAGGGACTGCCAACCTAAGTTGATGTGCCACTGTGGTAGCCACATTAAACAGTTCTAATTTCTAATATCTTGCATTTACAAGACAGAACTATTTCATATCATAGATGTATCATTTAATATTTGACCTCACTGACTTATTTAAATAATAATTATTAATAATTTTAAAATAACTTTATTAACTCTAAATTATTTTGTTGAATTTTTTCAGGGTTGTTACCAGCTGGATTGACACACGTGAAGTGCAGTCTGAAAGAGCGAACCTAACCATCCTTTTTGATAAGTACCTGCCACCAATCCTGGAGACACTCAGGGTACGATTCAAGAAAATCATTCCCATTCCAGGTAACTATTAACCTCACCAATAGGCTCCAGACATTTGATTTGTAAAAGTAACCACTAAGATACAACTTGATAGAATATTTCAAAATATTATGCATTTTTTTTCTTTTCAGAGCAAAGCATGGTGCAGATGCTGTGTTACCTACTCGAATGCCTCCTAACACCTGAAAACACCCCACCAGACTGTCCGAAAGAACTGTACGAATTGTACTTTGTGTTTGCCTCCATCTGGGCCTTTGGTGGCGCTATGTTCCAGGATCAGCTCGTGGACTATCGTGTGGAGTTCAGCAAATGGTGGATAACAGAATTCAAGACCATCAAATTCCCCAGCCAAGGCACCGTCTTTGATTACTACATTGATCAGGAGTCCAAGAAGTTCCTGCATTGGTCTGAAAGGGTTCCTAAGTTTGAGCTTGACCCAGAGATGCCTCTTCAGGTGAGAAGAATGTTTGAAGTTTATTGAAAATACATTCATTCCTCTGTTGAAATCTGTATACAAAAGCTCTTACTTTTTATTTAATGTGTTTTACTTGGTATTCTATATACTGTAGTTAAGTTTATATTATTGTTGTTGGTTATTTATATTGAAGCGCTTAGAAGCTGTGTTTTACCATGAAGCACTATATAAAAAGACTTGTGTCATTATTATTTTTTTTAGTGTTTTTTATTACTGTTTATTTTAATAACTTATTACAATTATCTTCATTTTTCTTATTAGCAGTCAATAATGTAGATAAAAAATCTATTACTTTTTATATATAGTCTTTGTATCCATATTTTGCCCTGACAAATTTGTTAACTAATCGTGTTTCTCTAGGCTGTCCTGGTACACACCGCAGAAACGACTCGTATCCGTTTCTTTGTGGATCTACTGATGGCCAACGGTCGCCCAGTGATGCTTGTAGGAAATGCAGGTCTCGGCAAGAGTGTGCTCGTTGGCGACAAACTGAACTCTTTGTCTGAAGATTACATGGTTGCAAATGTACCTTTCAACTACTATACAACTTCAGATATGTTGCAACGTAAGTTGAATTTATAGTGAAGTAGTGTTCTTCTCAGGTACCATGACACTTAGCAGGGGTGGATCCAGCGAAAAAATTTGGGAGGGGCGATGCAGCATGCGAAGCATCAAACCGGGGATGGGGGTGCTGTGGCAAAATTAATTGTAAAATAAAATTAATACAACTACTCAAATTACAACTTTTATAGAGGTATCATTCAGTGCTGTCAATACCATTTTCTTTTTTCCCTCCCCTCTTCCTTCTTTACTTTTTCTCCCTTCTCCCATCTGGATCCACCCCGGCTTTTTGCATCCCTGTGACATTTGACTCTTACGTTTGAAGGTCACCATGATTGTGTATAAATTACTATGAGGATGGTAAATAGAAGAGGAAGGTAGGTACAATATATGCTCATGTTGTAGGTGGTTGAGATTTTAAGTAATTTTTTTGTTTTTGTTTTTTTGTTTTACAGGTGTGCTGGAAAAACCACTGGAGAAGAAGGCTGGTCGTAACTATGGTCCACCAGGAACTAAGACACTTGTCTATTTCATTGATGACATGAATATGCCAGAGGTAAGTTGTGTCAAAATTTTTATTCACATATTCATCTCATTGTATTTTCATCAATATCGCTTACCCAGTCAGTAAGCCCTCCCCCACCATCCCCAAAATGTTTGTAAATTGAAGAAAAATGGAATGAAATGAAAATGTACATTAAATTTGAAGTCCAAGATTGCCATAGACATAACATTTCAGAAATCAGCCCCAACCATGGTGGGCTGAGATGTCTGGACCCTCCGTCTATAAAAATACCTTTCTTGGGCCCTCTATTTTGAATTCCTTGATTTTCTATTGGTTACCAGTGCTGTGTAGATAAACCTTCTCTTATGGTATTTGTTACTTGAGAAGTAACAATCTAGAAACAAAAATCACCAAATTTTTATTGATTTATCAAAACAGGTTGACACGTATGGCACAGTACAACCCCATACTCTAATCCGTCAGCACATGGATTACAGACATTGGTACGACAGAGTCAAGCTAAGTCTGAAAGAGATACACAACTGTCAGTACATCTCCTGCATGAACCCGACATCTGGTAGCTTCACCATCAACTCTAGACTTCAGCGTCACTTCTGTGTGTTTGCCCTGAGTTTCCCCGGTCAAGATGCTTTAACCACCATCTACAACAGCATCTTCAGCCAACATCTGCAAATCGTCGGCTGTACCAACAACATCCAGAAAATGAGTTTAACTGTTGTGACGGCGGCACTGGACTTGCACAAGAAAGTCACCAGTTCATTCCTGCCAACTGCCATCAAGTTCCATTACATCTTTAATTTGAGAGATCTCTCCAACATCTTCCAGGTAACTATCCATCATTTTTTTAAGCTCTGTCCGCACTATAAAATTTTATGAGACAAATTTGTGTGATGTGCCCATATATGGGCATGATGATATATTACACCCAAATATGGGCATGTCACATTTTATTGTCCCATAGGTAAGTTGGAAGTGTGGACATAGCTCTAACATTTTTATTTCAGGTCCTTCTACCTCATCCCAAAGTCTACTCTGTCTGGGTTATGTTATGATATATACCATATTTGTTTGAATAAATGCCCCGCTTTAAATAAACACCCCCCTCCCTCCTAGAGCCTAATTTTTTTTTTAAATTCCTCCCCCGAATCACCCGGACTCCAGTAGAATTACACTTACAATAAGTCTTAAATAGATCACACAGTGACACATTTTGTTTTGACGGTAATTATTTGTTGTACCTGTAGTTTCACATTTACAGTGAAATAGAGGGGCATTTATTTGAGTATATACGTATCCATTTTATATCAAAGGAAATAAATGCCTACCTTGAATAAATTCCCCCTCAAAAACCCTTCTCAACAATAAATGCCCTAGGGTGTTTATTCAAATAAATACGGTAATAATAATGATTAATAATATGCAGTATCTTATAGGCCTCAGTAAATGATATAATTGTGTTATTCTTTTAGGGGTTGCTGTACTCTAGTCCCGAGTGCCTGAAGACACCCAGTGATCTAGTTCGGCTTTGGATGCATGAATCCGATCGAGTCTACGGTGACAAGTTCATCGATGAAAAAGACATTGAAACATTCCAAAAAGTTTTGGTAGATTTTGGCAAAAAATATTTTGAGGTTAGTTACCTATCAGTTACCATAATTGTATTTGTGTTAATATTGTATAATGTTTATGGATGTAGTGTTCTAATGGTTGATACATTGAATTACATTGAATTTGATTCTATCTTTTAGTGTATCACATCCAATCACAAGTAAGAAACTCAGGATGTTTTAATTTTTAACAAAGAAGGCATGATTAATATTAGCTCACAATGGATCACCATGTGACAACCTATATATCTCAACTCTAATTGTTAATGATTTATTTCTTTTTATTCTAAAGCACTTGAAATATTATAACATGAACTATACAAAAACACTATATATCATTGTACTGTTATTTTTATTAATTTTTTTTATATTGTTATTTCTTTTATTCTTAAGTTATTTCTATTATAAATATTTTGATTACCCTTGAACAGGGGTTTAGCCAGAAAAACGAAATAGGCCGTCCAAATATGCTTTAGTTTAATGCAACATTTGATAGATTCAAAGAATATAAAGAATTTGCTAAAGGTAGACCAGGGCAAACTAGGCTAGGCGAGCTGAGTATACCAAGCTGTCGCGGTAAAATTGGTCGTCCTAAATACTTTTTGGCCGTCCAAAAGACAGCTGGACGGCTCGCTGGCTAAGCCCTTACCCTTGAAATGCCAGAAGTTGATATTAATTTTTTTATAATGAAATTGCACTGTTATTTTTATATTTGATATTGTTATTACTTTTATTGTCATCCATTGCTATTATAAATACAGTTGAACTTGCCTAAGTCAAATCCAAAATGCCATTGAAATATTGTTTGACTTAGATAAAATTTGACTTACAGATTGTTAATGGAAAACACAACAATTAGGCATGTAAAATAAGATCGACTTAGAAATTATTCTACTTAGGTTCAGTCAACTTAGGCAAGTTTAACTGTAATTTTATTATATCTAAAATTGCAGTTGATATCAGTTTTTAAAATGTTCTTTTTAGGATGTTGATGAGGATACATTTACTAAAAAGCCCAACATCTTTTGCCATTTTGCCGGTGGCATTGGTGATCCAAAGTACCTCGCCGTTCCTGGCTGGGATGAGCTCAGCAAGATCCTAGTGGAAGCCTTGGACAGTCACAATGAAATCAATGCTGTTATGAACCTGGTGCTCTTTGAAGATGCCATGCAACATGTGTAAGTTAGAGGGCGCTGTTCTATACATTTGATGTCACTTGGTGGAAGGTCTTATGCCCTGTCCAGACTATCGAATGTGACATGCCTAAATATGGTCAACATCATGACCATATATAGGTACATCATGACTATATATGGTCAACATCATGACCATATATAGGTACATCATGACTATATATGGGCATACAACAGTTTTTTTGTCAAAGACAATTTTCTAATCTGGACAGACCTTAAGCCGTAGCAAGATATATATATTTTTTTATTTTATTTTATCTTTTTATTTTTTATTTTTTATATAGTTATACTTAAAAGAGGCCTTCTATTATTATATTTAATTTTCTCTATATAGTATGTTACTTATGTTTTATATAAAGTATAACTTATGTGAGTTTCATTTATAAATTAATGTGATTATGGAAATAAAAGGCTTGGCAAAGAAAAAAAAGGATATATTTTCCAATTACTTTCAGGATATAGGCTTTCTTGTAATATCTTTAGTAAAAGTTTAATAGTTTGGTTTATATTTTTGCATGACAACATACAAATTGAATACTTTACAAAGCTAGACTGTGCTAATATATGAATTGAATATGAAGCTTAAAGAATGGAATATTCATTTAACAAATAAATAATGAGAATTTAACGATGGTGAATTTGAATTTTGAAGATTGAGAACTTGGTATCAAAATATTATATAATAATCAATCGTATAAAAATTAAAAATATACAATAATAATTGGGTTAGAAATGTTATTACAACTATGATTTGGTTCTGTACTCTTTATATCTTTTTCTTTTTCCACCTTGTTTAGTTGCCGCATCAACCGTATATTGGAGTCGCCACGAGGCAATGCTTTATTAGTAGGTGTTGGTGGAAGCGGTAAGCAGAGTTTAGCCCGTCTTGCGGCTTACATAAGCAGTTTAGACGTTTTCCAGATTACACTCAAAAAGGGCTATGCAATACCTGATCTAAAGGTAATTATAATTGTGATAATTTACTTAGTTTTTCTGTATTTTTTCTTAGTTTTTGTATTTTTGTTATCACATCTTACTTGTATGTGTTCATTTTTATATACAAACATTGTTGTAGAGCATTCGGGTGGAGCTGTAGCCTGGTGGTTAAAATTCAATCAATTAATTATTTAATCAGTCAATTAATCAACCTGTCTTTTATTATTTTGTATTCATAAAATCAGTCAAGCAAATTTCTTATTCTTTCATTGATGAATATTTATTCACAGTTTTAATCTTTACATTGATATATTTGTATATTATATTAGTCTAAAATGTGGCTTCTGCCAAAAAAAAAAAAAAAAAAAAACAATATTGTAGTTACATTGACTGTTTTTTTGTTTGTAGTTACATTATTATATTAATGATGATATTGTTGAATTTTCAATCCTGAATGATTTTGATCACTGTTAGTAATTTTAGTATGAAGATTTTGGTTGATTATTCTTAGAATATAAAAGAAAACAGTTAATAAGTTAAATTTATGAACTTGCTAAATGTTTAATTCTGCACATGTATAAATCATGAATTCAAAAAGAATTTCCTGGTAATTATTTTTTTGATGGTCATTTTTAGGTGGACTTGGCCGCCCAGTGCCTGAAAGCTGGTCTCAAAGGTGTCGGTACCATGTTTCTGATGACAGATGCCCAGGTTGCTGATGAGATCTTTCTGGTGTTGATCAATGATCTCTTAGCATCTGGTGAAATTCCAGACCTGTTTCCAGATGATGAGGTGGAGAACATCATTGGTGGTGTCAGGAATGAGGTCAAGTCAACTGGTCTACAGGATACAAGAGAGAACTGCTGGAGGTTCTTCATAGAAAGACTTCGAAGACAATTAAAGGTAATAGAAGCATGTGACATGCCTAAATATTGTCGTGATGACATCACATCATGACCATATATAGCCACATCATGACTATATATGGGCATACAACAGTTTTTTGACAAAGAAAATTGGATAATCTGGACAGAGCTTACGAAAAAAGTCATCAAAATGGAATGATATTTATATTTAATACAAAGTTGATCTTCAAAGATATTGCATAAATTTTACTGAATGTGGACAACAAATTATCTTCGGAGATTGAAATATTACTACTTTATAATAAAAATAATGAAAGACTAAAGATGTAAAATGACCTAACAATTGCCCTCCGCTGTTTGTCACAGAATAATTAATACAGCAAATGAAATTTGCTTTCCCGGTACAATAAAAAAAACAAAATACTAATAATATATTCTACAGAATAATAATAGAATAGGCTACACAGAAATTATAAAAAATAAATAGAGCAAAAAAAAAACCAAAAAAAATGCTAAACAAATTTATCGTTCGACTTTTTTAAATTTTGTATTTCATTTTTCTCGCATCTTCTCTCGCATTAGGTTGTGTTGTGCTTTTCACCCGTTGGTAACACTCTGCGCGTCAGAAGTCGTAAGTTCCCTGCCGTTGTCAACTGCACATGTATCGATTGGTTCCATGAATGGCCACAAGAAGCTCTGGTCTCTGTCAGTAAGAGGTTCCTTGAAGAAGTCGAGCTGCTACCAGTAAGAATAAAGATTACAATTTTTATTTAACTATAAATATTAAAATAATTTGATATATTTAAAAAATACTAATTTGTCACTGTCATTTAACTATGTTACGATTGATTGATTTTTTTCAGAGCGAGATAAAATTTTCTGTGGCAGAGTTCATGGCTTATGTACACACAAGCGTGAATGAGACCAGTAAGATGTACCTCCAAAATGAACGCCGTTACAATTACACCACACCAAAGAGTTTCCTTGAACAAATTAAACTCTACCAGAATCTTCTGACAGTCAAAAGTCATGAGTTGACGGCAAAGATGGAACGTCTGGAGAATGGTTTAACAAAACTGCAAAGCACTGCACAACAGGTAAAGTGGAAAATGACATCTGATGATTGATTAAGTGGTGATGGACAGATGATATTGACACAGTTAATGTAGGTTAAGTGATGCTGGACAGTTTATGGTGGTGTTAGTGCTGATAAATACAGTAAAGTACCTTATCCAAAGATGAAAGCAAGTAAAGCATTGGCAGGTTTCTCATCTCAGATGAAGATGATGTATAGATATCTATGATATTGTTTAATTGTGGTTAAAAGATGATGGTAAATATAAGTAGTATAAAAAACCTCAACATTCTCCCTTTTCCAAAATAGGTGGATGATTTAAAAGCTAAATTAGCCTCTCAAGAGGTTGAACTAACCCAGAAGAACGAGGATGCTGACAAACTGATCCAAGTGGTGGGCATCGAGACAGAGAAGGTCAGTAAAGAAAAGGTGGGGGCAGCTGAAGAGGAAAAGAAAGTAGCAGTGATTGCAGAAGAGGTCGGCAAGAAAGCCAAGGAATGTGAAACAGATCTTGCCAAGGCAGAACCTGCACTTATTGCTGCCCAGGAAGCTCTCAACACTCTTAACAAGGTAACATTTTAATTTAGAAATAACATTAGTTGAGTACTCATAGACATAGAAGCTTAGAACTGTTATATTTGTGATTTTTCTAATGCTAAAGAAGATGTGAGGTTGGAATATTATTGTGATGTTAGCAACAGTGGGTATTGATGAGGCAGGGAAGAAGATGAGGTTGCCCTAAGGAATAGCCCTAATTTAAATGTATTTTAAAAAATATTAAAAAAAAAAACATTTTGATATGAGTTTGCATCAGGAAAACATAAGTGATGTTTTGCCCTACCTGATGTGTTATCGTGCCGAATACTCGGTACGTTCCCAAATACTTGTGAAAAAAATTTGCAAGTGATTCGGGTGGGAATCAAACCCACGACATCCAGATAACTAACTTGGTGGCATATAACCACTAGACTACCGAGCTTGCGCTAAGTGACTAGTGTTGAATCTGATCCCCAAGTCGCAGCGGATACTACAAATGCTATTTTGAGGTGAGTATGCTTCTGGAAAATATCACAGGAGTGATGTTTTGCCCTACCTGACGGGTTATCCTACCAAATACTCAGTACATTCCCAAATACTTGCGAAAAAAATTGCAAGTAATTCAGGTGGGAATCGAACCCACGACCTCCAGATAACTAGCCTGCTGCCATATAAAGAAATTACAATAAACGCTATGTGTCACTGTAGGCCATACAATTTCAATATGAACTTTTCACTTGTTTTTTTAGACCAATCTTACAGAATTGAAGTCATTTGCTACACCTCCGCCAGCTGTCCTGTTGGTTACTGCAGCTGTCATGTGCCTACTGGCACCAAACGGTAAAGTGCCGAAGGATCGAGGCTGGAAAGCAGCCAAATCCATGATGCAAAAGGCAAGTCAAACCTATTACAATTTTTCAAGGTCTTTTAATATTAGGTTTCACATGGCATATTTGTGGTGATTTTATGCCACTTATGTTGCTCTATCAACATTCAGTGTCTTTGTTTTTTAACTTGATCAGTTCATCTCTTTGGCAGTCTTGAACTTGAACTGGCTTTGGTTCCTTGAATACTTCCTTCCAGAAAGTCTTCTGAGTCAAATTCTTTGACATCTCCACCGTCAGCATCTGTGCACTAGCCCAGAAAGTGGGAATGTTGGTCTCATAGGAGTTTATTTTGTAAATATTAACCTGAATAAATCGACTAATTGCCACGGTTCCTTTAACACTCTTACAGTACAACAAAATAGAACTGTCTGATTGTCCAAGCACATGACTGCGCCCAACAAGCATTATCCTCATTCCTTTGTCAACTGCCAAGCACCTTAAAAACAATCTACAGCTTCATACGTTCTATATTATAAATGTATTTTGTTTTATTGCATATAGGTTGATGCCTTTTTGGATTCCTTGTTGAATTACGATAAAGAAAATATCCCAGATGGTTCGCTGAAGGCAGTGCAAGAGTACCTCAACAACCCTGAGTTTGACCCCGAGCTGATCAAGACCAAGTCGGCTGCTGCTGCTGGCCTCTGCTCATGGGGTTTGAACATTGTTACCTTCTACAATGTGTACTGTGATGTAGAACCCAAGAGGAAGGCTCTGCAGAAAGCCAATGATGAACTCAGTGCTGCTCAAGAAAAGCTTGCTGTAATTACTGCTAAAATTGCTGTAAGTCTATATACACCATTTTCGCTAAATTTGAAGTCAAAATTTCCCAAGAACCTGGCAGCTACCACTGGGGGACATCCGGAGGCCTAGGCATTTTGCTGTACATAGTTACCAGCGTTTATTTGTGCTCAGTGAGTGTTGCACGACCTTCTTGTTTTAGAGGCCTAGAATGGTCTTTTAAAACAAAATGCAAAAAAAAAAAAGAAGAGAAAATAAGGGCGCATTAAACCTGCAATGTTTTTGGTTGTTAAAGTGCTCAAAATAACATATGTCAAGAAAAGCATAATGTGCTCAGACTAGGCAGCTGGATGTCGGACATTAAAAAGTTGGTGGCGCTGTTTCAAAGTAGACCTGATAAAATGGTATATTGGTTGTGCCTTGTGAAAAAAAGACGATGATCGACATTATCTGTGTAGTTGTCATTACAGCCACCATCATCATTGTCAACATTATAATCACCAATCATCATTATTCCCATCATCATCTACATATCTTTACATCCAGAGGTGGCGCTGTTTCAAAGTAGACCTGATAATATGGTATATTGGTTGTGCCTTGTGAAAAAAAGACGATGATCGACATTATCTGTGTAGTTGTCATTACAGCCACCATCATCATTGTCAACATTATAATCACCAATCATCATTATTCCCATCATCATCTACATATCTTTACTGTTACCAGTTATGTAGTCATTTATTTCCCATCTAATATCCTGGCCTGTCATGGTACAGAAGTGCCTTGCTGGGGGTGCAATGTAATGTCCCCTTGAAAAGTTAAGAGTTTTAGCTCTTTAATATTATTTGAAGGTTTCTCCTGGCTCTTTCCAATGCATGTTTTTTCCTTTAAGAAAGTCTTTGTAAAAAGCCAGAATGTGCATGATGCTCTTTGTGATAATATTGATTGTTTTACGAATAATATTAAGTATGAGTGGGTATTTTTAGCATGCATTTTTCATGCGAATCATGTTTTAATTATATTTGAAGACATTTTACACACATTTTGCACCAGTCAGTCAGTTGATTTGCACTAGGTGACAGTTGTGCAATGTGCTGGCCTACAAAGCTAAAATCTCATCACCTTTGTCATTAAGGAGCTTTCGATTTGGACGACCATGTGACGCCAGAACGGAATCACTCATGCGTGACCGTCCTGCCGGGCGTCAAACGTTCTCCTTATACGTAGATTTGGCCAAATTGCGACCAGAAACCACATGACGAAGAGAACTTAACATTCTCGCATGCGCAGATGACATTAGTGACGTCATTATGCTCTACGTCCTACCGTCGTGGTGCAATTGAAAGCACAAATAGCAAAGGCATCAATATTATTTTTTAATAATAATTTCCAATAATCACTATTATTAGGAATTGGATGCTAACTTGGCCAAGCTGACAGCTGATTTTGAGGAGGCTACAGCTGCAAAATTGAAGTGTCAGCAAGAGGCAGAATCTACCGCTAGGACCATCACCTTAGCTAACAGACTTGTTGGAGGCCTAGCCTCTGAGAATGTCCGTTGGGCTGAAGCGGTTGCAGCCTTCAAGGAACAGGAGAAGACACTTCGTAAGTTAATATTTGATACTAGATCTAAAGCCAGGCACTAGCTGCGCTCGGCGATCATCAGCCGAAGCGATTCTATTTAGAACCCAAACACAGACTGCCATCAACAATCAGCAGATGGCATTGCGTTGTCTAATGCTCACATGGAGCAAAGTTGGATTCATTGGCTAACGGTCATATGACTGTGTTACTACCCACTGGGCGCCCGGCTTAAACACAATTGACTTAAATTTATTTAACACTAAGTGTACCATTTGATACAAGGCCTAGCATCACTAAACTCATCATTAATTCAGCATACGAGGGAGAGATTCGGTTTTCTTTTGTGTGCCACAACCCATGGAGGATAACCCATGAAAGTCTGAAGACTTACTTCCAGTGGGGTCCTTCTGTTGGTGACTTGGGCAGTATACCAGGAGACAATTCCCCTACTGTTCTCTAAAGAGCGTACTGCATACCAAATTGGCCATATTGCACATTGGACCAATGGCAAAAACAACTCCTCTAAAGTATGCGCTTTGGCATCCCATTCCTTCAGCTGGAGAACAGCAGTGGAAACCTAGGACTGAAGCCACACTATCAGATTTTCCTTGACAAAAAACAGTTGGTATGCCCATATATAGTCAAGATGTGCCTATATATGGTCATGATGTGATGTCATCACGACCATATTCAGGCATGTCGCATGTTTTTGTCCAATAAAATTTGTTAGTCTGCACAAGGCTTAAGCTCTTATGAGAATCAGTGGTTCAGTGCACCCTCAGCGTCTACCACAAAGTTAACTGAATCTTCTTTCTTTTTTTTTTAAATGATTTATTAATCTTGTTTGCATTCTCAGCTGGTGATGTGCTGCTGACGACTGGTTTTGTGTCATATATGGGTTGCTTCAGCAAGAGCTACAGAGTAGACCTCATTGAAAAAATGTGGCTACCGTTCCTCAAGAGCCAAAAGGTAAGAGAGATTTTGATGCCAGGTCACCATTGGGTCAAGGGTCAAAAAGTCGCTATACTAGGAAATTACATGTTAAATAGTTATGTACTATTTTTAGTTTTAATTGTATTTGGTAAATGCTTTGTTAGGTTTGTGAGGATCTGATGTGTTATTATTGTTCCCATTTAGACTCTTGAGACCAAAATTATATTTGATTTAGTAATAAGTGTCATTGTGTTATTTTTCTTTAGGCTCCTATTCCGATTACGGAAGGAATTGACCCACTATCGCTCCTGACAGACGATGCTGCTATTGCCTTATGGAACAACGAAGGTCTGCCGAGTGATAACATGTCTACTGAGAATGCAACGATCTTGACCAATTGCGAACGGTGGCCACTGATGATTGACCCTCAACTTCAAGGCATCAAGTGGATCAAGAGCAAGTACGGTGAATCGCTGCGTGTGGTCCGGCTCGGTCAGCGTGGCTATCTGGACATCATTGAGCAAGGAGTCTCAAATGGTGATACAGTGTTGATAGAGAACATGATGGAGAGTGTTGATGCTGTGCTTGACCCATTGCTTGGCAGAAATACAATCAAGAAAGGAAGGTAAGTCACCATCGACTAGATAAACTAATAGTTATCATAGTTCCTTAACTAAAACACCCCTCAAATATGAAAGAATTACCAATTTCAAAACTGTTGATTTATAACTATATAGCCCTATAGCATACAATTATAAAATCAGTCTCAGATTTAAAGGTCTATTTTGTGAATACTTACCTGGATGAACCGACTAATTGCTATCGTTCTTTTAAGAACACCCCTACGACAAAATAGAACCATCAATCAATCCCAAGACATAAACGTATACAATTCACTTATCAAGATTTTGTTTCTGAAATGTTTTGTCTCATATAATTTAGACAAAATTTCTTACAGTGACCTTTTTTAAAAGTCACATTGCACACTGTATTTTAACCGACCTACAGTACCAAATCTTTTATGGTTTTTTTTCATTCCTCTCCATTTGGCTTAAGGCCCTGTTCAGACTATCCAGCCCTGTGACATGCCTAAATATGGTCATGATGACATCACACCATGACCATATATTGGCACATCATGACTATGGGCATACAACAGTTTCTTGTCAAAGTGAATTTGATAGTCTGGACAGGTCTTTAATAACAAAATACCTCTTCAGACATTTACAGTTAGTTCATCTTCAACTCCCCAAAATTACTGTATTGCTATCAATGTTACTAGGTACATCAAGATTGGTGATAAGGAAGTAGAGTACAATCCGGAATTCCGTCTGATCCTGCAGACCAAGCTAGCCAACCCTCATTACAAGCCTGAGATGCAGGCCCAGACTACACTCATCAACTTCACTGTCACCAGAGATGGTCTTGAAGATCAGCTGCTGGCTCAGGTGGTTGCCCAAGAGAGACCAGATCTGGAATCTCTCAAGGTAAAGGAAATTTATCAAATAATTACATCATATCTTCAAGAGTTTACAGTTATTTGTTGCTATTGCTCTTGTTTTTGTTTTCTTTTTTCATTAATGGATTGTATTAATACAAATACATAATTCATGACATATTGTATAACATATACAATTTTAGTTTACATATTTTGGTTTATATCTCATTAGTTGGAATTGACCAAGCAACAGAATGATTTCAAGATTGTTCTGAAAGAGCTGGAGGACAACCTCTTATCCAGACTGTCATCTGCAGAAGGCAACTTCCTCGGCGATACAGCTCTAGTGGAGAATCTTGAGACGACCAAGCGTACTGCAGCAGAGATTGAGTTGAAGGTGGCAGAAGCTAAGAAAACAGAAGTACAGATCAATGAAGCAAGAGAACATTATAGACCAGCGGCTGCCAGAGCCTCTTTGATCTATTTCATTCTGAACGATCTTAACAGGATCAACCCTATGTATCAATTCTCTCTGAAGGTATGTTTTCCCCTTTAAATGTTACAATACCTTTATGCATTAATAGATCGATCCACCAAATATTTTTTCTCATTCTCATTTTTAAACTAAGAAATACTTAAAATATAAGTATACTATGTAAAAAATATAATATTTTTCCAACTTTTTTACCTCACATAATCTGTCATTTTTTTAGGGTTGTGTAATGCTATTTCTTTTAACACTGATTTGTTTTGCCTTCAGGCATTCAGTGTTGTGTTTGCTCTTGCAATCAGCAGGGCAGAGCCTGCAGAGGATGTGAAACAGCGTGTAGCCAACCTGATTGATTTCATTACGTACTCTGTGTTCATGTACACGTCCCGTGGTCTCTTTGAGGCTGACAAGCTCATCTTCACTGCTCAAGTGGCCTTCCAGGTAGGTTGTCCTCAAGTTTTATTTTTTAAAGCTCTGTATAAAGCTAATAAAAATTGTGTGCAATTTGCGCATATATGTGTTTGATGATGTGATAGCAGGTTTTTTTGCATTTTTTACATGTGTGCAGTATAGGAAATTAGATAGAAAAACAAAAACAGGGATAATATTTGCTTGATTTTATGAGAAATCCTGAGGTTACCCAAAATGAAATTCAGATATGACATTCCCTATTAGGGAGCCTCACAAATTATAGCAACGCGTATACGTCACTACTCAGAGCGAGAATATGAGTTAGGCCTGATTATGACTTACAGTAAAGTGTAGAAAATTTTTCTGAGTTTCACCTTGGTATTCGAAATTTCGGTTATAAATTTTACAAAATTGCTCAATAACAAATGACGAATTATATAATAAAATTAATTCACAATAATGATTATTATAGTTGAAACGTATGACAAAACATAGAATAGAGATTTGCTGACAAATTACAGTACACCAAAATCATGAGATAAACTGGCGCAAACAAGTAGAACAAAAACGTTGGAAATGAAATCTTATTTCACGATATAGAATCTTCCAAGATTTTGATAAGTATCTGGAATCGTGCGTCAGTAACGCGAAGAGATTAATGTGATATGTAAATCCCCAACCATGGGTCGTAGACAGGTATACGTGTTGTTTTGTATTGCGAGGCTCCCATAGGGGTTGATAGCATTGGAAAATAGACAAAATTTACAATTTTTAAATTAGGCCATAATAAAGTATATAGTTATAAACTACAAACTTGGATAATGGTGGATGTTGATGTGTTTTGTTGTCTTCAGGTGTTACTGATGAAGAAGGAGATCAATCCATTGGAGCTGGATTTCCTTCTACGTTTCCCATCACAAATGAATGTAACCAGTCCAGTCGACTTCCTCTCCAATAATTCTTGGGGAGCTATAAAGGTAAGTAGGATAATATCATTAAATAGCATCAAAATTCAGTTGGTTGAAACACATCATAGCCACTTTTTCAATCTTTTGCTTTAAAGGAGCTAGATTGTCAATATATGTCATTTCTCCTATATTGTTTTTGAAACAGCTGTATGTTTAAACTTCTGTAACTTCTTCACAAAATGTCAAATTTAAATAATTTTTTACCATTTTATAGCTCTCATTTTACTGCTTAACCCTGTATTAACATCTAAAAATTTTTGCGACGAGTGACTGGTTTGGTTTGTCTTTGCCACAATTTTAAAAAGTCGACTTGATTTGCTTTTTGTACTCCTATACGTTAAGTATATATCAGTGCCAAAAAATTAATATACCCTCGAATAAGGTTTTGAGATTATAAACAATTTAAATTTTTGCAGTCATTGTCTGGTATGGAAGAGTTCCGAAACTTGGATCGTGACATCGAAGGTTCTGCGAAACGTTGGAAGAAATTTGTTGAAAGTGAGTGCCCTGAAAAAGAGAAGTTTCCCCAGGAATGGAAGAACAAATCCTCGTTGCAGAAATTGTGTATGATGAGGGCACTGCGACCAGACAGAATGACATATGCAGTCAGGTATTAATTAATTAATAATTTGATTGATACTGTAATGAATTTTTGTCCAAGATTATTAGTTCAGTGCAATACAAGTAAATTATCTTAAATAGAACTATTTTAATTAATTTATTTTAATTCTTTAAAAGCAATTTCATAGAAGAGAAACTCGGGTCCAAGTACACTGAGAATCGTGCCGTTGAGTTTGCCAAATCGTTTGAGGAGACCGGCCCCGGAACACCTGTGTTCTTCATTCTCTCACCTGGCGTTGACCCATTAAAGGATGTGGAAGCGTTGGGCAAGAAGATTGGCTGGACATTTGACCAGGGAAACTTCCATAATGTGTCCTTAGGCCAAGGCCAGGAGATTGTAGCTGAACAGTGTATGGACTTGGCTGCAAAAGAAGGCCATTGGGTCATTCTACAGGTAATTAGGCCATTATTATCCATTACTGTACTATCAATCTTTATTATGTTGATCTTTCAACAGCATTTGCTGTTAGGGATGCAGGTTCACATCTTATAGGGTTTACTCAGTGCTTCACGGATGTGAGTTCACATCTGTACATGTCTAAACATACCTCTATTGTATTAGGGAGCTTCAGATTTGTGCGACGACGCGTCGCTAGAACAGAATCTCTCATGCGTGACCATCCTACCGGGCGTCCTACGTTCTCTGCATACGTAGATTTGGCCAAATTGCGTTCCAGAATCTACTCGACGAAGTGACCTTAACGTTCTCGCATGCGCAGATGACTTTTAGTGATGTCATTACGTTCTACGTCCTACCGTCGTCATGCATATCAGAAGCTCCCTATTGTACGTGAACTCGCTCCCAGTGGTTGCCAGAACATGAACTTTCACCCTGGATTCTTAGGGAGAAATCCAGAAGTAATGACCTAAAATTAAATACTGTATGTTTGTGCTTCATTACAGTTGATAGGAATGATTTTCATTATAGTGGCTCCCTTTATGCCTTGGCATATGTAATGAAACTAGGACTAGTTATGAGGCTTAGGAAGTGGAGATGTTTTTAGTCATGCAGAAAACCTCTCCCTGGTGTTACAGGATTCGTACCTAGGGCCCTATGATTGGAAGGCAAGCATCTTAACCACCATCTACAGCTCCACTCTCAATTTTTATTTCTCTATCTTTTGAACAGAATATCCATCTGGTTGCCAAGTGGTTATCAACACTTGAGAAGAAATTGGAGGCGTACAGCGAAGGCAGTCATAAAGATTACAGGGTGTTCATGAGCGCCGAACCTGCAGGCACGCCAGAGTCCCACATCATTCCACAGGGTATCCTGGAATCTTCCATCAAGATCACCAACGAACCACCGACTGGTATGCATGCCAACCTGCACAAAGCCCTGGACAACTTCACTCAGGTAAAATAAGGCAGACGTTATTAGAGACCGATCAACTTTTCAATAAATTATTGTATCAATAATGAATATGCAACAAAAATATAATCCACAATTACTGAATTACCTTTCTATCTTTATTTACCTTAATACACTTAATATTTATGCCCTCTTACAAATATCTAAAATTGTAGATCCATAGGATCTAGTGATTTTACCCTCTTCTTTATTCCTGATATTGTAATTTTCATTGTTGTGAAATCAATTTTGAATCTACAGCCATTCCTCTGCACCCAAAATGGTTGATCTGTGCCCTGTTCATTTTCCAAAATAGTGAAACCAACCCTTCATCAGCTTCTATATCATTCATATGCTACTAGGGTTCCTTTCGTAAGGATATAGAATCTGGTGTATTGTTATTTTTTGTATAATATTTAGTACTGTCCACATAAAGATTTGTGTGATTTTTCCATATACAGTATGAATGCGAGATCATATCCTTATAACAACGGGTATATCAAAGATATTTATTTGCATTCCTCTTGTTAGTATGGGCAGAGATAACACTATTTAAACGTAAATCATGTTTTGATAAGTTTATCAAGGACGTAACATTTATATATTTGTAGGACACTCTGGAGATGTGTTCCCGTGAGGCTGAGTTCAAGAGTATTCTGTTTGCCCTATGCTACTTCCATGCCGTGGTAGCGGAAAGGCGTAAATTTGGACCTCAAGGCTGGAACCGTGTGTACCCTTACAATACCGGTGACTTAACCATCTCTGTCAATGTCCTGTACAACTATCTTGAAGCAAATGCCAAGGTAAAATGAAAAACCAATTAATGTATTCTTGTTATCATTATCAGTATTGTCATTACTGTATATTATTAAAACATTGTTGGTTTTGTTGTATTGCATTAGATGGTATAAACCATGCTGTTTCTGTGCTGTTTCTTCCCATTGATAGATCTTTTTACTTTGATTAATTTTATTTATGTCATGAAATTCATATATATTGTTGAATATGTGTCTATATTGAGTTGAATTGAGATAGTAAACATAAAAGTCATCAATCAATTAATCAATCAATCTGTCAATGTTTCCACCATAAATAAATTGTTTATGGCCATTATCCTATTGTTAAGTTGTGTATATTTGCCCTGAAGTTAATGTTCAATAAATTCTTATTTGATAAATGCTTTATATCTGAATGACCACTACAGGTACCGTGGGAGGATCTTCGTTATCTGTTTGGTGAGATCATGTACGGAGGTCACATTACCGATGACTGGGACAGAAGGCTCTGTAAAACCTATTTAGAAGTGTACATGCATGCTGAAATGGTAAATGCGAAGTCGATTGCTATTATTGTGTGTATGTATGTATGTACGTACAGTATATTAAGCTGGACACTCGACCGTCAGCTGATGACTGCATTTCTGCGCTCTGTGAGGGCTTGATGTCACAATGCCGCAGATTGTTGGTGACAATCTGAGCAGATTATTCTGCTCAGTCATTAAAAATAATCTGTTGTGCGTGTTCTCAATGGAAATCGCGTCGTTGATGACTATCGGGCTTAGCGTGTGTGCGACTTTACATTCATATATATGTATTATGTGTATGCATATAGGTATGGGTTGAAACATGAAGGAATTTAAAAGCATCTGTGGCAATTCTTTGGTGAACCTTTACCCTTTCTGCAAGGGCTGAGACTTGCTTGTTATAAGGATTATTATAAAAACATACAATTGAAGTAATAGGCCTATGTACAAGTAATTGCCTATATGTCACATGCCTTCTTCATCTCCCTCACTATTGGATTTAGAAATGCCTTCATAACTAAAAATACATAAACTGAAAAGTAATATTCATAGCTTTACGATAATTTTTCATTGATTTTTAAATGAAGAACTTTAAATTTTTCCCCCCGAATAGCTTGATGGTGAGTTATACCTAGCGCCAGGTTTCCCCGTACCTGGTAATTCCGACTACAAGGGCTACCACACTTACATTGATGAGATGCTACCACCTGAGAGCCCCTACCTGTACGGTCTACATCCTAATGCTGAGATCGGCTTCCTTACCACCACGTCAGATAACCTGTTTAAGACTGTACTTGAGATGCAGCCGAGGGACAGTAGTGGTAGCGGAGGTGGCGCCAGTAGCAGGGAGGAGAAGGTAAATATTGAGCATCTCATCTCATCATTTCAAACTTATTATAGAAATATATTTCTGCATAAATTTGCATCTGATTCTGGAAGAAATTTTATGATTCAATTAATTTTGATCAGTATTACTTTTTCTACCTGATCAGGTATAATGCTACTAAAAAAACATGCAGTTGAAGCAGCCTGCATAGCATTCCCCTTCGTTAGATAATACCTCAGAGCTGTACAGTAAATTTAATCTAGCATATTATGCCCTGGAAAATATCCGTGCTGTTTTCTTTGAATAGACAATTTCAGTGGGAACAGCATGACTCAGTTAAGTCTTCCTGACCAGCGATAATGAGTGTAATCACAATTTTCATCATTCATACAGTCAGCCCTCCAATTTTGGGACCAGAAAATATGAGGTGGTCTTGGCATTCAATCTTTGTGTTAATGGAAGATGGAGATTATTTCATTCTCTGAAAAAGCGGTCTCGAATTAGAGGGGTCTCAGAATTAGAAGCGTCTCAAATTTGAAAGTGCATTTGTATTTGTACCCATCTACACACTTACAATGCATTCTCTAATAATAAACATTTTTTAGAACATTATAGTCTAATCTCTGTGTGTCGTAAATTTTTCAGATCAAATCTCTGCTGGATGAGATCATTGAGAAGCTGCCAGAGGAATTCAACATAATGGAGTTGTCAGCTAAGGTCGAGGAGAGGTCGCCATATGTTGTGGTAGCATTCCAAGAATGTGAACGTATGAACACTTTGACCAATGAAATCAGACGTTCACTGAAAGAACTTGATCTCGGTCTTAAGGTAATAATAACATAATTATTTGAATAAAGCCCTGATTTGATTTGAAAAAAAACATGTGACATGCCTAAATATGGTCATGATGACATCACATCATGACCATATATAGGCACATCATGACTATATATAGGTATACAACAGTTTTTTATCAAAGAAAATTTGATAGTTTGGAAACAGCTTTATAATTAATTGAAACAATGAGAACATTGCTTATCACTGTTCTTTACAGTACTAAGTTAAGCAACATGCAGTAATTATAATAATAATAACTATTTTTATTATTTATATTTTTCATTTTATCATATTAAATTTTTGCTTAATCAATTTTATTTTTCAAACAGGGCGAATTGACTATTACTGCAGATATGGAAGATCTTAGCAACAGTTTGTATCTTGACCAAGTGCCTGCATCATGGATGAAGCGTGCTTACCCTAGCCTGTTTGGTCTTGGTCAGTGGTACACTGACCTCTTGCTCCGTATCAAGGAGCTAGAGAGTTGGACATCAGACTTCGCCCTGCCAAATGTGGTCTGGTTGGCCGGGTTCTTCAACCCACAGTCCTTCTTAACGGCTATCATGCAGTCGATGGCCCGTAAAAACGAATGGCCGCTTGACAAGATGTGCTTACAGTGCGACGTGACGAAGAAAAACAAGGAGGATTTCAGCAGTGCACCCCGTGAGGGCGCCTACGTGCATGGCCTGTTCATGGAAGGCGCTCGCTGGGATACGCAAACCGGTTTGATAGTAGATGCCCGTCTTAAAGAACTAACACCGGCTATGCCTGTCATCTTCATCCGTGCAATTCCTGTTGATAAGCAGGAGACGCGCAACATCTACGAGTGTCCAGTCTACAAGACCAAGATTCGTGGACCAACATTCGTATGGACCTTCAACTTAAAGTCGAAAGAGAAGGCTTCGAAATGGGTTCTTGCAGGTGTAGCCCTGTTGCTCTCCTCATAAAAACCATTGTTTTTCTCCAAAAAAATATCCCAAAATTTCCTACATTTTTTAATCTATTGGTACAATACTAACAACCATGTGCCTAGATCTTACCACAGTGCAGACATTAAAGACATGAAATGATTCCAAATCTAATACAAGGAATATCTATAAAAAATAAGTTTCAGTATATAGAAGTATAAGCCACAATCAAAATGTGTACATATATTGGTGAATAACACATCCAAAAGGATTATATGTCATAAAAGAATGATGATTTTTTATTATTTTTTTATTGTTATCAATTATTGTTATTATTATTTATTATTATTATTATTATTATTACTAAAGCTTTATTTGCATAGATTAACTAATAAAGATTTATTTATTATAATGGCAATGCTTTATATATATTGTAGATGCCATTCATAATTGTCGCCATCAGTACATTGTTATTATTATCAATGTTAATATTATTATTGTATTATTATTATTTTTTTTATTATTATTATTATTATTATTATTATTGTCATTGTTATTATTACTAAAGATTTATTTTCGTAGAATAATTAAACAAGATCCATTCAATATAATGCTGATGCTTCATAAATTGTAGATACCATTATTACCGAAGTTGAGTTTACGGCATATTATTCCATCCATATAAACATCAAAAACACTGATGTCTAAAATGATTTTTGAATATTTAAATATATTCTAAAGCCAATACTGTTCTAATTGTATATATAGATATAAATATAAACTTAATTACATTGATATTCAGCTATTTTGTTATTTCCATTTTCTTTCAGAGTAATTTAGTTTTTTTCTATTTTGAAATGGAAACTTTACATGCATTTGATACTTTTATTTCAAAATGCTATTTATATTTTCTTGACATAATGACAAGAAAATCAAAGATATTAATTTCACAGTTGTTAATCTTGTTTTGTTTTAAGCATGACTTTCATTACTACACTGTAATTTCAACAGATATTTTTGTTCTTATCATAGATTATTATTTTTAATAACATATTCTTAAAAGACAATGAAATATTACAAACAGATGTGAAAGTGAACACTTAATCCTTAGATTGATATATCAATTAACTATAATATCAAATGTAATTTATCATACATTTATTTTATTTTTTTATACAGATAATTTAATTTGAAATATGAATTTCTGAATGCTAGTTGCATTGATAGTTAAAATATTCGTCCACTGACAAATGTGTCAATTTTAAACACAACTTCCATCCATTATTAAAGTACTTAAAAAATGCTATGCTCTAATTTCAAAGATATTTTATCTGTTGTAGTTTGTTACTGATTGATTAAAATGTGTTTATACTGCAATGAATTTGTTCCGTCCAGATGTTTATAAATATAATGAAAGTTAAACAAAGTTTAAAGTGAAAAACACAATGTTACATGATGTCTCCACAAATGTATTAGAATGAAGTGAATAAAATTATTTATGTTTTGAGTCATGTCCAATGAATATTTTACTATTTTTGAACATTTTTGTTTGCTCCTACCCTAACCATTTAAATTCTCTTCCCACTGAAACTTACTGTATCTAGGAGTCTTTAAATGGGGGGGGGGGGGGTGCTAATGGGGGCGCAAAGGTGAAGTGGTAGGGCTCGATAATTAGGTAAAGGGATGCTAGCTCGCAAACTAAGGGAATCTGAGGTGATTTTTGCTTCAAACATTTTTGAGGGGGAGGGTGTGCACCTCTAATGCCATGAGTGATCCAAAGCACTGATTTAACTTCACTATTGGAACTATTCTTTTTAACACTCAATAGTTTTTTAATACCTTTTGTTTAGCGAACCCGCCCCTGCAAATATTGATGATTTCGAATAAAAATAATATCTTATTTTTGGCCAATTAGCACACCCACCACCACGAAAAAATGGAAATTTCAGAAAAGAATAAAATGTTTTCATTATTTTTATTATGCCCTTCGCTAAGAATGAAAGTTAATATAATATATTGTATATTTCTTCCCAATTATATAAACTTGAAACATTTAACCATACCATATACCGTACTACACTGTTTACATTCACTAATAAAATGGTTTTTTTTTTTCTCTGTCTGGATGATTTGGCAAAAATATTGATTGGCTAAATAAGACAAAATTTACTTTTTTTCCGCTCTTTGACGATCCTCACAAAATAAGTTCGCGAAAAAATGTATAAAAAAGTCTTGACTTACAGTTATAGTTTCTGTAATTATTGTTTTACATAAAACATAAAAGTCAGATAAAAGTTTTGAAATAGCGCCACCAATCACTTACCCAAAGTAGTGTTGGTCTTTTTACGAATAAAAATGGCCGATATAAATCGTGCTAATTCTCCTATGAACATCTACAGAGAAGATACACTCAAAACCAAAGAAGAAATTGATTACGCTAAAGCAATATTACATGGTCAACTGAATCAAAAAGCTCGTATCCTTTTGAAAATTAGTGTTAGAAAAAAGATGTGCGCTAGGCCTGCCTGTTTTGAGGCTAGCCCTGGCCTATGCTGAGCAACAACAAGGCACAGACAGCGGTTTTCAACGGCTGCCGACCGTTGTCAGGCAATTAGCATCCGTTGCTAAGGGGGCTAAGCCTAGGCATATGTTATTTTCATAAACATTATCAGCTATGGGATTTAAGATTTACATTGCTTAGCCTATATTTGATTACAGCAGCTTTTGCTAGGAGTCTATAGACTATGGCTAGGCTGTAATACCTAGGCCTAGGCCCTAGAAATATTGGTCACTTTGGCCTAAAACCAAATCGGCCCAAACCAACCAATTCACAACACAGGGACCACCTACCTTTTTTTAACCTGTCATCTTGAATAAATCAATATCGTATAGGCCTAGAGTTCAGCATCTGGGCTGAGTTGGTTTGGGGCCGAGTTGGTTTTGGGCCGAAGTGTCGTCTGGGGTCGAGTTGGTTTTGGTCCAAGTTGGTTTGGGCCGATTTGGTTTTGGGCCAAAGTGACCTGCTACCAGCGGGGGATATATCCTCTGCGCAAAAATTAGGCCTAGAAAGTTGTCCATGCATTTTGAAAATTAAGGACTGATTTCTACGCAGATTTTGACCTAGACCTAATCTTTTAATGCATAACCTTCTGTATTATGCAGTAATAATTCTGCACACCTATTTTTCTAGTGATTTTCCGAGCAAGTTTTAGCTATCATTCCTGCAATTAAAACACTTTACAGTATCATACTGTAGTATAGGTTGTTTGGACCCTTCATTTGTAAAATTCCCTCCCTAAAGCTACATTAACACTAGATACGACACGACAATAACACAATAAAAATGTGCGCAGTGTTGGAGAATGTAAACGACGCGATGATATATCGTTGTCATGTTGTTATCGTGTCTAGCGTAAATGTAGCTTAAGATACCTTATTCTCTCTAGTTTGTGGATCTGCCAGTGTAATGTACGGTAGGCATTGCTGACAATTTTGTTTGTAAAACCTTTAACTAAATATTCAGCATTTTTGGTTGGAAGCATTGAACATGTTAATGAGAAAATTGCAAACCTGGACCGAGAGCTTCAAATGTTTTCCACATTAGTGATAGATAGCAGAGGTTCAAATGTTGAAGAGGACAGGACACCATCACCAGCTCAAGAAAAGGCTTCCACCAAAGGTACAGTGTAATCGAATTGTTTTTTGTGTTTTTTTTTACCTCTGGAAATACATTACATGGTTCTCGTTAGCCGCCCACTCACGATATTAGGTCCTGCATCAAAAAAATTCATCCTTCATCTTTGTGTCTTTAAAAAAAAAATTTTAAAAACTAAGGTAAAATAGTCAAAAGTGCAGCTGACGATACTTTTGATTCAATTTTGTTATATTTTTATGAAAATCTGACTCACCTCTCTGAAACACACACTCAAACTATTGTGTATGTTGCAATATGTTTAATCGATCCTAGAGTGTGTATAATCGTCGCAGACCACCATGCATCAATATTTTTAATAGACACATGATCTTTGACCCTATTCTAAAATTGGCTTTTTTTAAAATATATGTATGTCATTGAATTTTGTGAAAAATACTGTAATGAAAGTTGACAAAAATCCCTCACCAATTTTTCGAGAAGTGCTGATGAGAACCATGCAATGTGCAGGTATTTCCAGCGGCCTTAAATATATTTAATTTAGAAAAACCTGAATTTAAAATGGTATATAAATGTTTGTGTGTGCCATATCTTGATAAGTTAGTTTGAACCACAATAATCCATAATAGCCATAGAAAAATTAAACATCCTGGCCATACCAGTTTATATTGGCTCTGATGTAGCTGTACTTTTTATGATGAAGTAGTGAATGTAGGCTTTAGTGGATACAATTAAAAACAGTTCTATAATGATATCCCACCACTTAAAATGTAAAACATTTATTAGTAATTTATTAAAAGATCATGTTATTCCTTGAATTCATTATATGTCCAGCTCAAGATATCAAACAGTTAAACCAATTTGCTGGTGTTTATTCAGTTAAATCAAGTAAGTAGAATGATTATTTTTACTTTTTTGTTTTTCTTTATCGTTTTTCTTTATTTTTGAATCCAATTTCATAGCGATACTGATGCTGCTCCTTTTCTTATGCCATATTTATCAATGATATATACTAATATTGCATTACTATGCATGTTTACCAATATGGATACATTTACCAGCAGTGTAATAGCATGCTATGTGCATGGTCTGATGTATCCCTTAACCTGTTATAACATGTGTTTTTTTTTCTCTCCACATTCCATTGATGTAACCCCATATTCTCTGTTGCCTTCATTTTTCCTTCCTTCGTTTTTCTAATTGCATGTTTTGTTATACCAACTTTAGGTCATCTGTCTATAAAACCAGGTATGATCCCTTAATTAACAAAACTGAATTTTATGTGTGAGCATTAACAATTAAAACATAAGCTGTCACTGAAATATGCTTAAATATCTCAATAGCTATTGAAGAAAATGTTTTTTTATGAAAATACTAGAGTACTATGTGAAACGGTAGTGCCTGGCATATCTAAGCCCTGTCCGGGGACTAACAAATGATCAAGATGACTATTAATGTACAACAGTTTTTTTGTTGTAAGAAAATTTAGTTATCTGGACAAAGTTAAAGGGAAGGATTAGCATGGAGGCTCAATTTTGCATGCTTTAATCTCCCTACTGAAATTTTCTAAGCAAGAAAGTAACAATTAAGTCACCTCATTCAGGATTATAACTGTAGAAAATTAAGGGTGTGTGATAAACATTTTAAGGGTGGATGGGTGATAACATTGGTAAACTCAAAATAATAAGAGTTGATTTTAAGGTTGGAAAAGTGGGTTAATAAGGGTTGGTGTAGGGCCATGAAATTAGCTTTAGACTGGGTGGAAAACTTCATGGCTGGGTGGCCGCGCCCACCATAACTACATCCCTACTCATAATGTGTTTCAGTTTACCACTCTAGTATTTTGATAATGATATTAATCTACGGTTTGCACACATGTCTTGAATTTTAAAATTGTTTGCTCAGAAATTAACATTTTTATTTGTACATCTCTTGGATGTATATTTTTGTCTGTCCACTGCAAAGCATAATTTCCAAAAGAACAATTTGATGTTGATTTTTGTGGGTTATTCAACTGATTTGAGTTTTGCAGTGTCTATTAAACAGTCTCAACATATTTTTACTCATAAATTTGTTTATGGACATAATATATTGTCATATTGTTGTTATTGTTATCATTATTATTGTCATCATAATCATCATTTTCATGCTCATCATCATCGTCAATACCACTACATCATCAATGTTGTCGTCGGTATGGCCGTCGTCATCATTTATCATCATTATTTAAAATGAATAATTATCAACATTTTTATAATTGTTATTTTTGAGTGTTTTTGTTGCTGTTGTTGTTGTGGCTGTAGTTGTTTTTGTTCAAAAAATCTACTAAAAAAACATGAACAGCACATTTGTGAAACATTTTGAGCACAATTTGTTTCTTTAATATATAAATCAACAAATTAAAGAATAATCATTATTTAATATTAAAAATATTAGAAAGTTTACATCAAATTGTACTTGGTTTATTATCGATGAAACAGTTCTACAATCATTATTATAATTGTTAATATTTTCTATATCACTGCTTTCCTTTCAGTTTTTCAAGCAATTATTTAATTTTGAATTTTTTCTTTCTTGTTTGACACTTTCTCTTGTGGGTTTGGACATTATCACTTTGTTTACATAGACACCAATTGAAACTGAGCACATTAATGTTTATATGTAATTCTAAATGTCAATATTTCTACCAGCTTTACTCAGTGATAACAAACTGAAGTTCGGGAGGAAAGAAGTTGGTGCTAAGAAGGTAGGTAAACAATAATAACTCAGACATATTATTCGTAAATTTAAGCTTAAATTTCCACATATTATATAATCTCTGTTAGGGGACCCTCAACATGTTGACTGCCAAGCCCTTTTTCCTGGTTTCATCCAATATGCCAAGGCCAAGGGTCCCACCATAATGAAAATCGTTCCCATTAAATAATAAAACAAAAACAAACATACCTTTTTTTTGTTTAGGTCGTAACTTTAGGGTTTTTCCCTTAAACTCTAGGGCGAGAATTCTGAAGACCACTCCCAGCGAGTTTATGTGCAATACAGTACTGGTATGTTTAGACAGGTGTAGACTTAAGCTATGTTCACATCAAACCCGGATTCCATGGAAAAATAGGTTCAGTGGTAAAGAATAGAACCGTTCACATCAAAATCGTATGATTTCAAATCCGGACTCCGGATCCGGACCGATGGATCTGAGAGCCATTTGTATCCTGAAATCGTACATTTTTTCTTCTTGGACCAATCAGCAACAAGCTTGGTTGGTTCGAACCTATCGAACGCATACTTACTTAAACTGAATAACCGCGTTCTGTGCGCGATGTGAATGCCGTGTATAAAAAACATAGCAACTCACGATTTTTTATTCGGGCTCCGGACCGGATCCGGTCTTGATCTGAACGTAGCTTTAAACCCACATCCTGGTGTCCTGAGTGAACCCTGTCGGACGTGAACTGGCATACATCCCTGGCAGTGAACGTGTTAAATCTATCTGCTCATCAACTACTGATTCTATTACTATTCAATTTATAAAGTATTATTATTTTACAAAGAGTTGCTCATAAATTTATTATTTATTATTATTATTATTTTTTTATTTTATTTTAATTATTAATTAATAATTATTTTAATTATTAAATATATAATTTTTTTTTATATACCTTAGCCTAAAGAAAATGTTTCCAGTGCTCGACCAAAACTTGTAGAGGTAAGATGTGCAAAAATTTGTTAGATTTCAAATCTGTTTTTTTTTTTAAATATTTTCTAGTGTCTTTGGCAAGGCAATTTTACCTCTCACTATTCTGGAGTATAAATGAGTGCCTATGGTAGGATGATGTGGTATTGAATGTGTTAGTTTTTTTTGTTGTGTCTGGCTGCACAACTATACTCGCAGAGAGCAGACAAGGTTGCAATTTTGCTTTATAAATGTATGATCTTGTACCCTTGATCATGACTTAACTTGGAATCGGTGCCATTATCAGATATATAATTGTTTATTATTCAAAATGCAAGGTATGAACAATTTTCTTATTGCAATTCATGATAATTACAAGTTGAAGTTGAAAGTACCATCGTTAAACAATTAGATTTTATAATACAATAAAAAAGTAAAATCACATGTATTTACTTAAGTGTACTAGTATTTACCTTTGGATGAAATCTATAATTAATTTTTCTATGGAACTAGGCTGACGTATTATTGTGATTTGTGCTTACTCTACAGTTGCACCAGTATCCTGGATTTGAGTCCGAGAGGCTCACTCCGCTGCCATACGCTGAGGTCCTTAAGATGCTGCAGAGGGTGACGGATGCACAGACTAGCCTTAGCAGGAAGCCTCATTACATGATTGAGTTTAAACGACTCTTCTTTTCCAAAATGTCTGAAGCCATTATTGTAGTAAGTTCTGATTTTTTCTTCACTCTCATTTTCTCCCCTTCATCACAAAGAGGAACAAAGAGCAGTTCGAACCTGTTATAAAAACAAAACTATTTTCTACAACACAGATCACAAAGGACACAAACTGCTTCGTGCCTCTATGTGGTGATAGCGGCAAATTGGTTATTTTTCTTCATAAGCCTTTCCGTAAACCTTTTCTATCAATTTTACGTTAAAATATGTATATTTTTTATTACATAAATATTTCTTACACCACCAATGCATCACAGGCAGTGGTTTTTTATTCTGCTCACTTGTTTTGTTTTTAGTAATTTCCTGCTCATTTCAGTGAAATATGTACCCCATCCAATTAAAATATTTTAGAGTTTGGTGCCTCTCAATAGTTACTGTATGTCCACAACAAAGGCCAAATCCGGTCCTGTGCCCAGCCAAGAAATTGTGAAAAATGGGTTCCGTATTAAAGAATAGAACCATTCACATCAAATTCGTAAGATTTCCAATCTGGACTCCGGATCCGGAACAATGGATCTGAGTGCTATTTCTATCGTGAAATTGTACGTTTTTTTTTTGTTAGATCAATCAGCAAGAAGCTTGGTTTGTTTGAATATATACGTATTTGACCCCAAATAAATGTGTTCCATGAAACATAATAAATCACAATTTTTTGTCTGGGTTCCGGACCGGAATCTGGGCTTGATGTGAATGTAGCTTTAGTTATGGCAGAATTTGAATGCTCTTTTTTCAGGATCTGTTCTGGTGGTTTTTTCTGCATCGCTATCATCCAAGTAAAATGTGCCAAGAGAAGATCTTTAACCGAGTGGCGCACAATTACACAAAACTCTTACTTTATGCTAAGCACCCAAAATACAGGGACGTGTTCTTCAAGGTAACTTAAGGCTCTATCATGCCTAACTATGGTCATGATCACATCATGACCATATATAGACACATGACTATATATGGCCATACAAAAGCCTGGCTTCAATAAAATTGCTACAGGTTATTCCTCTGTTCTCAAAATATGTTCAAATAATATTGCTAAAATTTAAAAAAAATTTTCTATAGGCCTATCCAGACATTCTCGCGCAGGCTGTTTATTGCTGCTTCTGTGAAGCCTTCCCCGACTCGTGGAGACAGTTCAACGATGATTTTCAGGAGGATTTATGTATGCTGACCTCTCAGTGGGTCGCTGGAACTAAAGTCGTACCCCGAACATGGATGAAGTGGAACTACAGATCTCTTGAACCCCATGACATGAGGAAGGCTGAAATTATCCAACAAGATTCAAAAAAAGGTGTGAACTTGATTTTTCTAACCATTCATTTTAATATATAATTATTATTATATTATTATAACATGGAAGCTGTATGAATTCTTTAAATTTATAGAGTTAAAAATAGTACCCTGTGACTTTAATGTGTGTATCGTGTCCCCTATATATATATCTTTTTTAGAAATATAATTACATTATGAAATTTGTGTATACCGTAATTGCTAATCCATTTATTGTCACATAAAAGTTTTAAAGCAATGCGATAGGAGGCTAAGGGCTTAAAGCTATCAAGATTATCAAATTGTTTTTTTAAAAAAAATGTGACATGCCTTAATGTAGTCGTGATGACATCACATTATGACAATATGCGGCTTTCCACCCCAAAAACAGCATCAGTCACCAAAAAATGATAATTGACTTTGAAATGTTCATTTTTACTTTTGCCAAAGTTATGAGTAAAATTGTTACAGCTTCTCTGTACTTAAGTATACAATACTACCACATATTCTTATGCTAAACACTCAGTTTATCAATTAGCGACAGTACGCTGGTTGTGGGATAGCTAGCCTCATATATAGGCATATCATGACTATATATGGGCATAAAACAGTGTTTTTATCAATGAATGTTTGATAGTCTACTGACCAGACTTTAAGGACACTGTAGTAACTATTTGTCCTTTTGTACTACAGTTATACCTGCTTAGGTCAGCAAATTAGTGTGTTTTTTCTCAATGCCCTAAAGTGGCATCGGCCACCAGGGTGTCCATGTTGTCTGAAGGGAGAGGCAGTCTCCCTCGGACTCAGTTTACGCCACCATTGCTGCCAGCTGCTTCTATATTTTACACCATATTTAATTTTTTGTAAATCCTAGCACCACTACTGGCACAATGGTTTATGTTTTTTTCTAATTCCTTGATTGTAGGTCGAGTTTTAAACTTTGAGTTTGTCACTCCCGAGACGTCGTCTCACAAAGAACCCTCGGTCAAAAGTTCTCATTCATCTCACAGTAACCCAGGTGTACCAGAAATCGACTCTGACATCAAAACCATAGCAAATGTTTCCAATGCTCAGAAAGGAGTCAAGACAAAACCACAAAGGGCAGAGGGTAAAGGTCAAAATTCTTTGCAGCCAATCGCAGAGAACTTTTCAGATGCATCTAGCAGCCTACTAAGTCAAAAAACAATTACAAGTAGTGGGACAACAAAGAGCCATCAACGAAAATCAAAATGTGCGTTAACTGGAAAAGAAAAGAAGAAATCCGATAAGGGAAATGAAACAGTACCGAAGCAATCCTCAACAGTGTTGTTCAAAGGAAAAGACACACAGTTATCTCCAGAGGTAATATATAGAGCGTGATTATACCATCATTATTGTAACCAATATTGACATAGCTAGAGGGTCTTTAGTAGGAATATCTCCCACAATCCGCAAGCAATATGCTCGAGGAAATTAACCCATCTTCCATCAATTCATAATAATAATGTTTTAACTACATTATTAAAAATAATAATAATAATAATAATAATAATAATAATAGTTCATTGTTATATAGCGCAAGCTTTCAATACGCTGTATGTAAAAAGCAGAATAGGGATGCAATGTTAAATTAATGAAAAACTTGATGGAAAAGAAAGGTCTTAGCTTGGTTTTAAAAGAGTAACACGCATCAATTGTCTCATGGAAAGCGTGCTGATAGTTATCACCTTCCATTTCAAGTATTACAGACCAATTTAATACATCAGTTTTCGTTCATGGTCGTTTTCCATGGTTGTTTTTCATTGTCTTTTTCCATGGTCTTTTTTCCATGGTGTTTTTACCATATTTGTTCCTTTTCTAGTCACATCCCGCCTATGAGAGCACACAGTTTTCCAAGAGTGCCTTCAATATCAGCGGTCAAAGCCCGTTGGTTAAACATTTTCTGCGACAGAAGAGGCTTGACAAGAAAGCAGGCATGGACATCTACCTGCAGAGAACAGAGATCAAAAAGCTACCACCATATCCTTTTGTTCGTTTTTTTTTTATACTAACATTTATCAATAATTATCATTTATATTAATGTGAGATTAATAAAGAATTGGGAATGATGGTGGTAAATGGTAATGCTATGTACTGTATATATAATATTGAAAGGGAAGTGAGTGTAGTCTTGTTTGAAAATATGTCACACCCCTATTTGTGCAATAAGTTGCCATTTACACCATGGAAGTGCCTATATGCACTTCACATTAATACCGCTGTCAACACCTATGAAGCATGGTATGTTTCCTAGGGGTAGTATTCCATAAATGTTTCAGCAGCTAATTAAGTGCCTGGCCATACAAACCTTACCGGGTACCCATTTATATTCCTGGGTGGAGAGAGAGTAAGTGTGGATAGAACGCCAGTCAAAACCACAACCTCTCGGCCAACTGCTCCCAATGGACTGTTCCACTAAGCCCCCGTTCCTTGGATACTGTTGCTAAGGTTCTGATTGGTCAGTTGTTAAGTTTGATTGACACTCCGGACGGTCTTGAAGAAAATTTTGGAAAAGTATAATTTTAGATAAATAAAGCGCTGTTGACGTCACACATTTCAGTAGTTATTAAACCAAAGAGTTTATCTACTTATTAATTTTTCCTTAACTTCTCACACGTTAAATGCACCGACGTACCGTGAACTAATCAGTGACACGTACCACAACATCCGTGAGCTTGACCATAACTACCAGGAGATGCACGAGGAAGGTTTGAGAGAGCATGCTCAGTTTCTGACCAAACAGAAAGAGTGCAGGAAAGGTCAAATGAGGTCAGATGTTAGCAATGTGCTTAGTTTAATGATATGGATCCTTTCCATACTGTAGATCCTCGAATAAGCGCTGCTCTTGAATAATTGCTGAACCAAACATAATTTTTGTTTGCCGCTCTTTAATAAATGCTGCAGCGGTTATACAAGATTATTTTATTTTGAATATGCGCTGTGGCCCTTAAGGCACGACTTTTTTTATACCTTGATTAGCGAACCCGCTGACTGCAAATATTGATGATTTTGAGAAAAAAATAAAATTTTATTTTTGGCCAATTAGCGCACCCTCCGCCACAAAAAGTTGTAAATTTCAGAAAAAAATTAAAGTTTTCCTAGTAATTGAAGTTTTTATCTGTGTCTTATTTGAAGGTCGATAACTTATTTGATCTTTTGAATAAACAATACAATTTTTAATACCTGTATAAATATTCTGGGATCTATATATTTTTAGGAGAGAAAAACTGTTGTTGTCCAAGCCAAGAGAAGTTAAACGACTAAGTGATTTACTTGTGTTAGAATTATTGGTAAGTATCCATACTTTGCTGTTCAACTATCTTTTATTTATTTTGCACTTATGTATGAATATGTAGATATA